GATACATGATAGGTTAGAAAGAAAGAGTGATTCAATCACAAAAGGTTTCACAATTCAAGGCCAAAGGAGTGGTAATGGACAAGTAAAGAAACAGCTGATCTGTCTAGATAAACTAATGCATGATAGATCCATTTCCAATATTTTATATTTTTATATATAATTTCCAGCACCCATGGCACTAGGCTTTTATAATCTTGATTTAAAGTTATTCCATACCTGCTCTGCTTAATATCTAAACAATATATTTAAAACCTCATAACCTTAACTCCCAATTTTAAATCCAACTCTAATCTTATTCATAACACATTCCTCAAATTCGTGATTCAAGAAGTTATGATCTCCTTTATTACGTGAATAAAAAATTGTGGTATCTGCTTTTCATTGAACACAATCTTTTTTAAGTCAAACAGATCTCATCAAACAATAGCTACATCCTAGGAGCATCATTCCAGCTAAACTGATTTATTTTGTTTTCAATGTATTTTCGTGGGCCCATGAATACACCTCTTTGGGAATCAGCTCCATGCAGAAATGTTGATGTTACTTGATCTATATTTGCAAATATATGTGCTCAAATAGGCTTAAAACTATTTTCAAGATTATTTTTACCAGCTATGGGATATCCCACACTAAAATCTGTATCAGTCAATTACTCTGCAAAATCCATAAGTGTCCTATTAGCCGCATAAGTCCCAAGTACATTTTCAGTCCAAATTTAATTTCCTATAGAGATCCTTATTTGGTACTTCAGAATAAAAACCACATTCTCTCCAGTTATTTAGTTCCTTTTGTTCTATCTCTCTGATCAATTTATCCTTTTATGCTTGGCAGCCACCAAAAGCTGACAATCATGAAGATCTCTGCTTCTAGTTCTGTCATGAGATTGTTAGCCTTTATTTCATTGTCTAGTTTATTCAAAACAATGGTCTTTACTGTTCTTGGGACAATTTTGCCTGCCAGAACTAATGCTTATTCACAACTGGAGTATCTTTCTCTAGTACAGATCACTTTCTAACATGAGAGGCACATTCAAATCCATCATCTGTACTTGATTGTGCTTTCTTGCTGTCCACACTTTCACTGCATACTCCCAGACCATGAACTTCACTTCTTGGCCATGATCCTGAACATTCTATCAATATACAATCTTGTTAGTAGCTATTCCTGCACAACCCACATTTGTGACATCCTTCCATCCACCAGTTGCAGTTAAATTCACAACTGCGTAGAATTAAATGTAATTTATTCTATTCTATTGTAGCACATTTACACAATTCAGGTGAGAGTATTGGTTAATAGTGACAATTAAAGCTAATACTTCACTGAAACCTAAATTCACATTTCAGGTTTGGACATCTGACAAGTGAAATTTCTAAATCAGGATTTGCATTTTCCTAATGCAGTC